TGTGATGCTTCTGCTCACACTCAAACTTCCCAAGGGAAAATTCATTGGCCCACTCCTCGTCCTAACCTTCACTCCACAAAGTCGAGAGAGGCGCCCCCGTCGGTGCATGCCAAGCACCAGGGCGCGGTCTAATAAAAAAGTCGGAGCAATACCATTTGCTGGGAAGTTTGGGTGACCCCTTGCAAACCCGGCCATGATACTTGCTGTCACGCTTCAAAGCTTACCAACCATGCTTGCCCCGTTCTAAAGCATATATACTTCGAAAAATAGAGAAGGAAGGGTCGTAGCCTAGACGCTTGCAGATAAGTCGGAAGGCACAAGTGTGAAAGATAAGCGAAGGTGACAAAAAACTAAGGGGACACCCAACCATCTCCAAGATACCAAACAGGATGGGATCGAGCAGGAATTTCAGGCCACACTTTATATACTCTGAATAAATCGCAAACCAACCCTCGGGACAACTGCCGATGCGCGCACTAGGATCGGGAAGTGCGTACTCCCAATCTGTGGGAAATCCTAGGCCACGAATGTAGGACATGACCCGGTGCAGCTGGATGCTGGGCCGTTTATCAGGACCAAGGGAACAAGTATAGGAGGGGGGCGCCTGACCATCCCACATCCCCCGCCACAATAGAACGCAGTAGTTCGGGTCGCTAGTCGCTCGAAAATTGCACGTACCAGGCTCGAGCTCCACACTAGACATGTCACCCTCAGTAAGCGCCTCCGCTTGGGGATTAAACTCATCGTCCTCAACATCACTGACGATCTCGGAAAGCCTCCACTTAGCCTTTCTATATACTGCCCAATCAACTAAGACTTCCTAAAGATATGTGCTAGTGAGAAAGTTAAAACAAAATAGGGAAAGCATTACTTACCCATCTTCCTGACCTTGCTCGAAGAGGCCTTAGTCTTCCCTTTAGAAGGAGTAGAGGCGCCACCCATAGAAGCAGATGGCTGCGAAATATTAGAAGCCATAGCAAGGAAAGAAAGGTGGGCAGAAAAGCGAGTCTTGGAGGAGAAACGGGTGCAACGCAGAAGCCGGTACCGCGCAGGCAAAAAACCGCTATCACGCACTGTAACCTTAGAAGGAAAGGCGCCTTAAGACGCCTTGAAGCTGAGTCTGCATCACGAACGAGGAATAGAGTAAGGACCATAAAGCGACAAGCAAAGTAAGACGATTAGCAAAATCCATGGAGTGGCGTCCAAAGAGCAAGGGGCAAAGCCTACCTATGACAGTAAGATGAGGAAATCTGAGGGCATCTCCACTATTTACGAAATCTACAAGAGTGGCGCCTCGCGGCCTACAAATCCTATGAGGGGTGGCGCCTAACATAGCAAATAAATGGATCCCAATAGCTAGCGAAACACAGCGAGAAGACGCGGACGTTCGGAGGCGCCGCCGTTCAATCAAAAAGAATTAGGAGTTAAAACGTACCTAATCCGCGGGGGGTGGCGCCCAGCAGAGTAGTCAAATCAGAAGAGGCGCCGTTGAGAGCTTTCGATGGGGTGGCGCCTGCAAAAGAGGTAAGTTGAGGAAATCAGAAAACGTCTACACTATTTATGAAATCTACAAGAGTGGCACCTCCCAGCCTACAAATCCTACGAGGGGTGGCGCCCAACATAGCAAACAAACAGATCCCAATAGCTAGCGAAACGTAGCGAGCAAACGCGGATTATCGGAGGCGCCGCCGTTCAATTTAAATAAAACGTACCTAATTCGCGGAGGGTGGCGCCCATCAGAGTAGTCGGAGCGAGAGAGGCGCCGATGAGGAGGAAGAGGCGCCTACCCATGCAACCGGAGTGAGATGAGGCGAGGCGCCAAGGGGAAAGGGGAGAGCTGTCAGGGCGAAGCGATGCGCCGGGAGAGAGAGAGAAGGCTGCCAAAAATTAGAGCTAGAAAAAAAAGTGAAGGGAGAATGAAATGAATGAGGAGGAGACGTTTAAATAGGGATGGAGAGGGGAGGCGCACAGTTCTCGAAGCGGGCTGCCCTAGGGCCCAACCTTCTATCACCTCCTCTCAATTAAAATCACCCTCTCCAAACTTAAGAGTGGGCTCGGTCCAAAACCGCGACTAGCAGCCTGTATGGGGTGGCGTTTTGGCCGCCATTCCACTCCTTGTCAATAGCCTTTTTTATTTATTTATTTTACTTATTCAATTATTTTATTTATCTTTTATAATTTTTTGGTATTTTTTCCATCAAAGAGCATAATTGTTTGACGATACCGCAGTATCCACGCCATCGCCAAAAGGGGCAATTGATAGAGTATCCTAGTAACTAAGGAAGCAAAACCCTAGATAATACATTAAGGAAGAAAAGAAGACAAAAGAGCAAAAAGACAAGGCCAAGAGACAAGAAACAAGGCCAGGCACCTGACATCAGCAAAGACAAGGTGCAGGGGGACACCCTCTGCCAAAAAGTACAATGTACAGTGTCAGAAGGTCTAAGGCGCCCGACCACAGCATTTATGGCCTGGCAGGCGCCCAGACCACTACCTAACTCTTAGATGTGTATAAATAGGAGTTCTCGCCTCATAAATGACAATCTATCTACTCTTTACTCCAACTTCTCTCTACTTTCTCTCTCTATATACTTCTTCTCTTTTCTCACTTCTACTGAGGTGGGGCGCCTACCCCCTCAAAGTCATATGTGACGCCCCAAACCCCTTGGATCCGAGCGACTCCCAGTCGCCCGGGCTCAAACAGAAATACACTCACTTCTTACCATTATTAATAGCTACATTCAACATGTGGGTAGTGATACAAGAACTAACTCAATTGACAAACTGCTGCGAAAACCTCATAGATCTTAACACCGTGATTAAAAACAACAAATCTATTGACAAAAACTTTCATAAGATTTATATTCTTTCTACACGGAGGATATAATGTTTTTTTGTGTTATATCCATTAACTAGTTTAGCTGTCAACATGATATTATCACTTATAGTACTATTACCTCTGACAAAAGCATACTAGATTTTACTAATCAGGCTAGCAAGACAATTGGTATCCTATGAGCTAGCTAAGACTTTAGTAATACATTTGTTATTTGTACAATACATTGCAACGAGATATAGATATATGAATATTCATATCATCGACATGGGGAACCATATGTTTTAAATAAAGTATAGTTGTATTTCATTGGGAATGTGTCCATTTAATTAAAAAAAAAAAAAACAAGCCACACTGGTTACCTCCTCTTCCATAACTTTCCATGCAGTTTTATAAACATCAACTGGAATACTGTCTAGGTCAGGAACATAGTTTAAGCTCATGCTAAACATTGCTTCCTTTATTTCCCCCTTTAATACATGTTTACATAGATCAGATGCTTCAGAGCTAGAGAGTTGGTGAAAAAGTAGTGATCTCAATACTTGCCATCCACTTTTTCTAATTCACTATAGTTTCTACTTTCTAGTAAAGTCATTATATCTATGTATTCCTTCCGTATATACTTACAAACACATGTTCGAAGGTTTTATTAAAGTCGCTGATATTCCAAGCCATTATAGTTATTATAATTCTTAGCGTACCTTCCACCCCCACCAATCTTCTTCCCTCGAACACCCTTAGCCAAAATATTTACGGCTTTGGAAGAAGGGAATGAGGTCTCCAAGACTATACATAGCTCATTCATAGGTGATATGATACAATAGACATTGGAATGAGAAACAACAACCATTTTTCATCTGACAAAACGATCTGCCACTACCTGGCTAGTGGCTAACACTCTTTGTCAATGATGGATAGGGATAATTGACAATGGTAAAAGTACAAAGATTTATGTGGTTCACTAACACAATGCGTATTAGTTAGTCGGATTTTTTCCAGAAATACCACCATTTAAAAAAATTACAAAAATACCACCCAACCCTAAAAAATTTAAAAAATACAACCATTAATTGAGAACCGCCGCAGGGATTGAAAAGTATGCATAGTACTTCTCCATTCGGTCTAACTCTATTCCAATTTGGTAAAGAATAATGTTACAGACCAGACTTAGAATTGAAACCCAACCGTATATAAGCCTATACATCTTGGAACTGAGGTGTTGCTCCTGAAACCCATAAGGAAACCTTGTTCCCATGAGACCCCTAAACAAGTGCTTTTCCCGTGGACCCCGACTCGCTGACCATGCAACGAGAGCCCTGTGACAGAAAGAGTATATGAACACCTACAAACAAATCTCTATCTTGACTTGGATCTTCCCTCCAAATCTCATATGTACTCATATCATCTCTCTTTCCTCCCTCAATGCACACGAAGGCCTCAATCCCTAAGAATGTTGAGCAAGTCCAAGTACTATTGGAACTTGTTATGTGGGACCAACTTTGTGAACATATCAACAAAATTTTGGCAAAACTTTTTTCTTCACCTTAATCCTCGTCTCTGTTCTCAAAAAACGATACATCACATCAATGTACTTGGTCCTCTCGTGGTGGACTTGATTCTTAGCCAACGATATGACACTCAAACTGCCACAATAAACTACCCACCTGATAATGATGTAGACCCAGATCACTAACCAACCTCTTCAACAATATTCCCACCATGACTATTTCTGTCAATGCCATGTACTCTGCCTCTTTAGTAGCTAAAGTAATCGTTGGCTGCAATGTCGCTTTCCACCTAACCATAGAACCTCTAAGAGTAAATACATAACTAGTCATAGATCTCATTGTGTCAACATCTCTAGCATAATCAGAATATAAAGATATATTGGTGGGAAAGACTTAACCAACTGACTAAGACATCACCTAATCTTATCCCTTAGAAGTGTAAAAAACACATATGAGTGGCATGTATTGATATCAAATGCTCATTAACTAACTTGACATTCTGAGAATCAAACAAAATGAAAGGAAAGTCCCCCGAAAAAGAACCAAGTAGCTCCATTACACTTGCACATGCATATGGAGATTTTAATTTGCTAGAGCTTAAGTGTTGACAACCACACATTAATTTTCCAAATAAGGATGTTAATCAATAGCGACCATTAGTTAACGACCCGACAGTTGGTCCTGATCTCTCCGTTAGTCCCCGTGAGGGGGCTGATGTTCCCCATCCGGATCATAGCGTTGGCGAAATCACGCACGAAGGTGTTGACGTTGGTGCTATAAGTCCTGACAAGAGCATCCTGGGAACCGCCGTTAAACAACTGCTGGTCGGAGTGGAGCAGCCCGCGCTGGCCGACCAGCGCGCTGAAGTAGGCGTTGTCGAATCGGTTGGGGGAGGTGTCGAGTGGCGCCAGGTTGCCGTCGCCTCCGGTTGCCGGGCAGCTGCCCCTCCTCGTGGTGGCGAAGTTGGCGTCGATGTTGGTCTCGTTGTAGATCCGGTTGCGGAATCCGGCGCACCTGGCTTGCCCGATGGTGTGGCCGCCGGAGAGCACGGTCATGTCGGAGGCGGTGAGACCCTTGGCGGTGAAGGCGGAGATTAGGGCTGGGAGGTCGGAGAACGGGGAGGGCAGGTCGTTGTTCGCGTCGCTCTGGCTCGCCGTTCTTGCGTCTCTCCGGCCCAACGGGACTTGCCATGAAGGCCCTCCTAGCTGTATAAATATATATACCACAACGTGGTTCAGTGTTAGTGAATTGTTTCTATGGATGATACGTTCAGTGATGCAAGATTAACGATACACCATCTTTTCAATTTGCATGATCATTAATGCTATGCAGTGATTGCAAACATCGTTGGTTCGACCGAAAAAATTATCTACCGGAATATCTAATCGCTAACTTTTCTAATACAATTTTTAGTACGGCAACAATGCTTGCGTGTAAGATTCTACTATCCGAAATTTTGGAAAGAGATAAAGGAGATACAAAAAGAGATAGCTAGCTACAACTACACATAATACTAAATTTAGATATAAGACTAAGTGCGAATGAAATTGTCAAAGGAAAGTTGACCATGCAATGGGATAACTAATGTCAAAGGGATGACTGCATGTAGATGGTTGATGAGAGACCAACAACTCAAAAATATTAAAATAAATAAACCGTTGCTTCCATGAAGGAGGCAAGTGGTACATATTAAAGAAACAATATTATCAACTTTGCATGTAAATCATGACACTAATATTATCTAATTAAGTATATAACAGAAGGAGCTTCGTACTTAAGGTGAGAGAGAAATGTTGAAAGGGAAGATTAATCATACCAAGGCGACACCGTCCCTGGCAGCAAGTGCAAGGATATCTGCACAAGAAACCGTGGCATTGCAAGCCCTTTCCACCCGGGTTTTGATGGTGTCGATAACCTCGAAACCGAGAAGCGAGTTCTGGTTGGGGCGGGCATTTTTCTCACCGGTGAAGCTGGCCGTGTCGTCCAGCAGAACTGACCCATCACATCCCTGTCGTTAAAAACAGCAGTGAATGTTGTAATTAGTTGTTTTGCAATAAATATAACTATATGATGATCAATTCCGAAACATGCATGCACAGCACAGCACAGCACAGCACGTTGGATCTATACTGACATTGACAAAGCAGTCATGGAAGTGCATGCGGAGGATCGAGGCGCCAAGTCGGGGCTGTCTATTGACGGCTTCTCGCATTGCATTGCGCACAAGGGGCTGAAGGTTAGGGCATGAACGTGCGTAGAAGTTGGCTGCCAGTTGAGCACTGCCCGTCGAGGCCAGAACCCACACTGTCACCAACAGGGTAACCCACAACTTACTACCCGCTGCACAGGAAGAAGCCATTAAAGCTCGCTTAGCTAAAAAAGAGAAGATTCTTGCTTTGCTAATAAGAGAAGATTCTTGATTGGCTAATAAGTTGAAGACTGAAGGTGTGTGTGTGGGTGGATGATGGAGATTATTGCAAAGGGGTTAGGGTTTATATAGTGGGAGCTATAGGTTAGAGAAAGCTGGATACTGGGAGATCGATAACATGCATGATGAGAGAGGCGCAGACCAGCTGGCCTAAGTGACTTTTTCGTTTGTGTTTGGAAGTATATATGTACTAATTGATTAACAACAATGAGTGGGCAAGGTTCCAAGTTTCAAACTTGGCTGCTAAACACAGATTAAGGGACGCGTTCTGAAGCTTATAGTGGGACATGAGTTGACTTCCTTTATGTATAATTTTTTTGGATGGTACAAGTCGTCGTATAATTTGGGAATCGCCGGTGCATGTGTCGATATCTTGGGACAAAAAGTGAAATGGAAGAAAGGGATTTTGGTTTGCTGAACTCGTGGTCTTTGGCGTTTGCTAGGTACTACGTTGCCACGTTTTCTTGAGATGCACTTTTATGTTTTACCATTTTCTTCCATCAACCACAACATTGGGCGGTCTGCACCGTGACTTCTATAGTTATTTATTTGAGTAAAATCAAATGATAACATATTTCGAATAAGAAAATAACATTATAGAGATCAAATTAATTGGACTGGGCATAATACTATATCATAATTTTTATTTTTATGATGAATTCTACATCTTAATTATCTAAATATAGACTCTAAACACTAAAATGATGCATATAATTTTGGATATATTTCCGCGAATCATGATCGTCGATTAATGTTTACAATTAAATTGATCTTTTTTATGACATTTATGGAAGTAAGGCCTAGATTTTAATATTTAAGGGTTAGGGTATAATACTATGTCCCAAACTTCGATCAATTCAAGTTCTAGATATTATTTTGGTAAAATGCACATGTGTAGCCAAAACTTTGACAGATTGGCAAAATATAACCACTTTTGGGGAAATAACAAAAATATCCACTGTCGTCCAATTCTTTGACGGTGTGGATTTAAAAAAAAAAAACAAAATTGATGAGTTTTATGAGGAGGCGAAGAGCTCATCTCTGGCGACAAATCCTCCCACCACCACAAACGCCGTCGCTTTCCGTCCAAAATCATCTCTGCCTCCACGACCATCAATCGTCTTTGCCCCCACCAGCACCAACCTGACTTCACTGGCACACCATAAGCAGCAGAAGATGGACACTACAAAAAAGGCTGTCAATAGTAACAAATATCGTCTATATAATTTGTTGAGAGGGGTTCAATATTGGATCTTATACCACATATAAACACGCCCCTTCAAACGAAAGCCAAGTCGTACGAGCTTGCAGTTTGTAGAAGCTAAGATATCATGAGCTTAACAAATGAGTCTTTGGGATTCGAACACACTCCTCTTGGTTACAGAAGGCTCTGATATCATGTCAAGAATCAATTGATTCCCATAAATCAAGTTGTTGGAGAGGTCCGATAATGGATCTTACCACATACTAACAAGTGGATGTCAATTTGACGAGCACAATTAATATAATTTTTCTATGCAAAAGTTGAAGTACAACTTAAATCGCAAGTGATATACCATGTTAAAATAATTGGAGAAAAATTATGTCTCTCATAAGTATTGATGAACATTATTGATGGTTATACAAAATTGAGTTACTAAGCAAATTTGCTTATGTGCAACAATTCAATAAATCACCCAACAAAATATCCTATAATTGGCATTTATCGATTCAGTCAAACCAGTTTGTGGTTGGAGTTTTTAAAGATGTACTAAAAAAAAGCAGTTGAATGTTTGGTTGAAAAACGATTAAAAGTGCTTTTTAATATAAGGAGTGACGTAAAAATACCTAAGCATAATTACTAATACAAAATAAAAATATTCAATATAGATCTTGTTAGATTTATTTTATATTAAATAATATAAATAAAATAAAATTTAAATATGATAAGAATAATTATGTATTTTCAACACAACTTTTCGAAAAAGCTCCAAATCGAATTATTTTATTTTAATTTTATACAAAAATACTTTTTACCTTTTCAAAACTCGAGTTTTTATCGATATTTAGTCATACTTCCACTTTTGAAGCAAAATAACACTTCTATAAGTCGACAATAATACACAATTATTGAAACTCTCCCACAAGTGCTTTTATAAAGAAAGATAATGTTTGAAAATTATTTTAAATAGTTTATTTAACAATACTGAACTACTTTTTTGAAAGCACGCTTTTGTAGCAGATGCAACCAAATTAAAACTCGCTTTAGTTACCTACGCAGAAATTCTCCAATGATAATATCAGTCATATTGAAACTTTCTTGCATCACTGAAAAAACTCAATTTATTAATCCGAAATAAAATGTCAAACAATTGAATTAATCAGTACTCCCTTTCCATGCATTACGGCTCCAACTTGAGTAGAGCATTCATAAATAAATATAAAACACGAGTAGAGTATTAATACAAAACAAGAAAAATCAACATCGATAATGGCTGCAGCTAATGTCATAATAATTCAATTAATTTCAGCACAGCAATTCAACGGTTTACATAAAATATATTTCTGAATTAAGCATTATTCATTGACAAATTATGATCCTGATCACAATTTGTTCGAGTCAGGTTTACGATAGACTTGTTCGAATCAGTCTTCCTTGAATCCTTGGGGTTTATCCAGACGACAATATAGTTTAATTTTATACTGAAAAACAGTGGGATTTATTTATTACAGATAAGAAAATGCTTCAAGTTTGAATTTTACATTGAATGGTTCCAAATAACAATTGCTCCAGTTTTCCTCGATTCCTCCTTCATTTCCGCACTGTTTCTAGCTTAACACTGCCGGTCTACAGCAGATTCCGTTGACATAGATATAATTAGAGGATAATTTCAGGATGAGAAACGAAGAAAAGGAGAAGATACTATATATAGAGTTTGAAATTTCAACCTAATAGTGCCCAGACATGATTAAAAAGATTCACAAGATCATCTTTTTTCTAGTCAACCAACCGTAATTAATTAGATTGATTTGGTAATGGGTTATGGGTATACACTATATATACATCTTGCTCTTTAATGGTTAGACTAATTCTTCGATCCACGGTGAGTGTTAATACTTAAATACAGTTCTTTGATAGATTAACTGGTTACAATCACTGCAACAAAAAAAAGTTATGATTTAATTTGGACAACTAAGTTGCTAATGAAACTACCTACGGCTCTTTCTGAAAAAAGTTCTCAAAAATAGGTGTTATTAGCCTTCCATTTTCTTAGGTGTTTTAGGATTTTTTTCTCAAAGTACACACCTTAAAAAATTCTCAAAATACACATGTTTTATTCAATATTCCCAATCTACATATGTTTGGGCTTCACCGCGGCCTCAAACGTTGTGAATAACATCACCGCGGCCGACTAAAGCGGTGAATGCTACATCGTGGTAACTCGAACGTAGCTTTGTGCTAGTTTATCCGATCGCAGCGAAATTTTTATTATTCTACAAAATTTTTCGAGATCTTTCAAGTTGCAAACAGATAGAAGTGATTTGGTCCAACCTTCGTCATGAAAAAAAAGTCGTTTGCTATCCCGAATAAGCAATTTTTAGATATTTCCAAACTTTGGACGACCATAACTTTGTGCTCTGCAACCAAAATATCACAAACTTTCTTTGATTTCGCATCTTTTTAAGGACTACAACTTTTACTAGGGAAGAATATTCAAAATATCAAATATTTTTGGATATAAGGGGTTTTAGGAATAACATTAGTTTTACTTTTCACAAATCCACGTACATTCGGAAAATATGTCCATGATAAAAGTTGTAGTACTTAAAAAATTATGCGAAATAAAAAAATTAATTATAACGTTCGGGTTGCGGAGCAAAAATTATGGCGGTCCAAAGTTTGTGGAAATATAAAAAATGTTCGTTTTGCATAGCAAACGATGTTTTTCCGGAATGAAGGCTGACAAACTGCTTCTAGTTGTTTGAGACTTGAAAGATGTCAAGAAATTAAGCAAAATAATAAAAAAAATCGCTACTATCAGATAACGGAGGGCAAAGTTACGTTCGTTCGAATTAATTGCTAGGTTAGGCGTTCAACGCTTCCGAATGGCGAGGTGAAGCATTCACCGCTTTTGTCGGCCGCGCTGATATTATTCACCCCGTTTGACGGCCGCGCTGAAGCCCAAACATGTGTAGATTGGAAATATGTTCTAAAACGTGTGTATTTTGAGAATTTTTTTAAAACGTGTGTTCTTTGGAAAACAATCCGGTGTTTGAATGTAATAATCATTGTATTACAGCCATTTCAGGTCGATTTCTTGTTATTCATAATTAAATATTGATATTCTAGCACTTAGCACGATGTTCACCGATTTTTGACCATTTTGGTTTGTAACTTGTTCATTCTCATACTATTCAATGATAGGTTGTGTTTTCTTTCCTAATCTCTAAGCATGATAAGGGGTGTGTCGGGTTACGTTCCAATCGAAAGGCATTCGAATGGCTCATGATAGGGTGCATAACCATTGGTTATGCACCCATCAATAACTAAATCTGGACCCTTCATTTAGAAAATCCAGATCTAAGGATTGAGAATTAAATAACGTTTTTATTTTCCCTAACTTTCTTAATTGGCTCATATTTTCTTCATTTTAACTCGGATTTCAACTTTTTTTTTGCACAGCTGGAACGAGTTCGTTGTGCTCTACAAAACGAGATCCATTTTCAATATTTTTTGAGAATTTTTTTTGCCTCTCGGTACCAATTGCATACCATATGATATCTTCTTCGTTTTTAATCCCATTTTGAAAACGTTTGCACAGAAGGATTGAGTTCATCATGATCTATTGGATCTACAAATTTCTGGGTGAACAAATTACAGGACCAAAAAATACCACACAATACCACCCTGGTACGAAGTGGTATCTTGTGGTACATACTGTTAAAACGAA